AAAAGTGCAGGAGAAAATCATTCCTTATTTTGTTGAGGGACGCCATTACAACATCAGTTCGATATATGTATCCCAGAATTACTTTGATTGCCCAAAAATAATACGAAAAAATCTCATACATGTCTGCCTATTTAATAGGTCATGCATTACAGATGAGCTAATCAGAATTGTGCGTCAATATGCTAATGACTGGCGTAGTGTGATTAAGATTATTGATAAGGCATTATGTGAAAAAAAATTCATTGTTTTTGATCTAACTGTATCTCGTGAGCATCCACACAGGATATGGCTCGGTTGGGACCAAATTCTCACTAATAAGTAGAATTTTCTTTTAAAGCTATTGATGAAGTGAGATGAAATGTATATTTTTTTTGGGCTTCTAGGTCATATTCAGACTCGCTACACCTTTTTACCCATAATTTCCTTTCATAAGTGCTGGAATATATTTCCAGTTCTATATTTATATCACTATATCTTGTATGGGAAGAGATCTGATCAACAAGAGTGATAATTTTTCTATCCTTAGAAGAAATAATATCTTCCAGATGCTGGCATTTATCCTCTAACATGTCAATGGACTTTTCAGCTGATGCAATAGCTTTTTTCGTATAAGGAATTATACTTTTAAAGAAAGCTACTGAATCTATAATTGAGTGACTTTCCTACCACTCTTCTCCAAAGACCTGGTCATGGTTACCTCACGAGACTTATATTACTCTTGCAAGTCAAGAAGCTCTTCAATCTTTTTTTCCAATACCTGCTTTGATATACACAACTCCTCATTTTCTTTTCTTAACAAATTTTTACAGTCGTTGGTAATAGGCTTCATCCTCTAATGCTCTTTTTTCTTAATATATTTTTCAATTGCCTGATTTAACATATCTTTCACTTCAGGGTGAATACTACTTGCCTGTTCCAGCAATAATAGATATTTTCGAGAAGTAAGGCGTCGCTATATATCTATTTTGATAGATCGAAGAAGTTGGTTAAGTTGCTTCAAGTAATATATGTGAAAAGATGGTGTTAGTATGCTAGTTATTGTTACCATATGAAATATAAAAAATTCTGAGAATTAAAAAATTCTGCGTATTCGGAAAAGGAAATTCAAAGAATAAATTCACGCATCAGTTTCGTGACATATCTGGCAGATCAGCTAGAAATATTAGCTCCGATCAAGAATTTCACGTAACATCCTGACTATTGGTCAGCAAAAAAAATCATGTGATTTTACCGGGGTGTCCCGGCTGAAAATTGCCAAGAAATAAAATATGTATGTTTATAAAATCGACCACCAGGATCCCTTTATTGATACAGAAATATAAATATAAAGGTTCGGGGAACTTGCCTGTAATACATGATATTTCTATGATAAAATACATGGAATTACACTAACTATTTATTATATAGGGGCATGAAAACGGTAGGATTTGGATTAACATTTCAGGGCGGATGAGAGGTAGCTTGTTCTAATGCCTGCATTATAAGACTCCTATTCACAATTATTACATTTCTTAAGATTAAAAGTAAATGAATGAGAGATTTCAGGCGTAACTGGTGGGGGGATAATGGAATTTCCGCATGATCTAGATGGAAGCATCTTGGTATACCAGCCAAATCCTTCACAAGAATATTAGATACATAGTGGTACCTGCGATCTGAATTCCCACAACACCAAATTGATTACCAACTGGTCTACATAATGCACTGATATAACTTGCTCCATCCAATGTTTCTCTCCATAACTTAACTTCGTCATCTGATTTTTGAGTTACTACATACGATACGCAATGATTCAGTATACAATAGCTCAATAATTTTTTCATCTTGTTTCGCTAAACCCATAATGTCAGGTTTTTTCACATCCGCTCTCTAATTATTCCTAGATTTCTATGAGTCTTGCTTGCTATACTTTGACGTTCAGCTGTGCTTAGACAAATAGCATCATTTGGAAGATCACTCAAACTCGTTCAAAGTAAAGAAATTATGACATCTGCTATATATGTCCCTTCACTCTATTTACTGCAGGATGTACTAGTCATAATGCAGGATTGCTTCATATTTCACTACTGATAAAAAAAAACGTAATTAATACAGTGATGTTCCATCAAATTTTGAATAAGCAAGTAACTTATATTATGCCTAGAATATGTTCTGTTATCTTTACTAAATCCGTCTCACTTTCTTTCCATTTTTTATTATGAAGTATGTTCTTCATAGATCTTGCATTCTTCATATTATTGAAAACTTCCACAAAATTAACACACTTAGCAACAACTGAATCGAGAAGAACACATTTCATATTTTCTCGAGGTTCTATGAAGATATTTTTTTGCCTACTTCCCAAGTTTTTCACGATGTCTGAATTATCACTTAAAACCCTGCCTCAACTTTTGACTGCACTAAAATTGACGGTCGATCGATATGAAAATTCAAACTCGAACATAACAGATTAATAAAGTATCGTTCTTTATTTAATAAGTTCGAGTTTAACTTGACAACATAAATTATAAATGACAGCTTTCAAATTAACCAAATTCAAACTGATGTAAGTCGCAATGATTACACTCAAAGTGGGAATAGATCAATTATAATTATCCTTTATAAAGAAATTTTCTGTGTTATCCAAATCGCCTATAAGAATTGACCCGTTTTAAGTTGATTTTCTGTGATGAATTCTCCTTGGGGCATTTTAAGTTGATTTTACAAGTTGATATTTTATCTTTTTATTTACATATAACAGTGTTAAAATTCTGAAAACATTTTTTTTTACATGTATGACATCCTTTTTTAATAATTTCCATGCATAAAAATTGATTATATCACATGTATATAACTTTACGTGTTTTTAATAAAGTTTGAACTTTTTAACAAGGTCATTTTACTATTAAATGTTACATTTTTTTAAATGAATAACAAAAATTATCAAAATTATCAAATAAATTATTTATTTCCCTCATCCTCGCCTTCACCTTCACCCTAACATTCAGCCTTATATAAAACGATGAAAGAAAGCTGAGGGTAGAAGATCATACATAAGAATCAACTGCTATTTAGTTTTTCTTTACAGTAAGTATATAAACTTTATATGTTTTTAATAAAGGTTGAACTTTTAATAAGTCATTTTGGCATGTGTAAAGAAAATACAAGTTAAGTAAACATTATAAATGGTATAATGATGTAAACCAGAGAAGTCATTATGGTAATTTAGATACATATTAGTTTCCGTTAATTGTTGGCGCACTTCATATAACTTTAATGTGTAATAGGTTACTCCAGATCAGGGATAATGATTTTATGCTATTATATAATATCACGTTAAACACATAATTATGCGATAAATGCATAATTCAAGTTGATCGCGTTATAAAATCACATAATTTA